GTGTGTGTGTGTGTGTATGTGTGTGTATGTGTAATACCCCAAATATCCCACCTAGTATTGAATGGAAGGTATGCTCAGATTATTGAACTTTCGAGTGAAGATAGAGATCAATCATTCAGTCTTCATGTTTAACTATATGTCCATTATCACCTGTCATAAAATTACCAACGATGATCATCTTGGCCATATTCACCATCATTCGTTATGACCACCATTGCTGACCAATCCAGCCCATACTTATTCAAAGAACCAACCCCAATCATTTATTGCAGGTGATTGCTTACTTTGAAGTAGACCCTCTCTGTCCAGCTCCATGAACCTTGCTCCCCACTCATTTCATTTCTTATGCTCTCTAATTTTGACATCAAAATTAACGAGTGTGTGAATGAGGGATTGATTCAATGTTAGTCTAACTAGATGATAGTTCATCCCCTATTTTCAAACCCTAGAAGCCCAAATTTATTTCCCCCATCTAGGCCACTCACTCGATGTACCTACTTGGTTTTCTGAAAACCTTTACAAACTCATATTGATACAAAATCATCACAATTGCCATCTTGATCTTGCTATAGAAAACTCAAAAACTCCCCTTTATTTCTCCAAGTTCTTGGTTCAAGAGCTATAACAAAGAAGAAAGAGAATGTGAGAATTACTCATCGCTCTTATTCCTAGCCGGTTACAAGAGACGATGGCTGGAGGAGGGAAACAAGCTGAAGAACAATTGGACAATGGATTTTGAGGAGAGGTTAGCAGGTGGGTCGTGGGGGTGGACAGGTGGGTCATCTTTTTTATTTTATTATTATTTCAAATTATAAATTAATGATAGGCAAAATAAAAAAAGATATGAGAAAGGGTTCGGTACACTTTTTATATGGACAAAATGATTGAGATTGCAATTTGTTAAAACCATAAGGATTCAACCTATCAATTTTTATACTTAGAGATCCAAACTAGGAATTTGACCAAACTATAGGGACAAAAACTATAACTTACTCTAATTTCTTTAAAGGTAGAACGATCAAAAGAGACCCGTTGTTTTCCTGTTTTCCTCCGGAACTTAGCTGGTGCCACGACTCAACACCCCTAGGCTTCATCGGAAACTATGTTCACATATGGTAAGGGTGCCAAATCACACTTATGGAGTGGAGACTCTTACACGAGTATACCAAGAAGGCAAGAAGTCTTAACATGGCATGTATTACTTGCATGAATTATTGTACTTTGCATTTTTTTTTTCTGTACGTCGTGCATTATCATATGTATTCGCATGAATTATTGTAATTAAAGCCAAAGTATTCCCTAATTTAAGTCAAACTACACTTTCATTGCACTATGTTTTTGTGTATATAGATCATGTACTAATACCGAAAATTTCAACACAGGCAATCAAAAAAAAAAAAAAAAAAGAAAAAAAAAATCAACATTCGCTAAATTAATTACATAAAAGAAAACAAATCTAACAAAACTTAAGTCGACAAAATCAAAGCCATAAAGCACCGGCTTGTTTAAGCACGGGGATCAATTCACCGGTGATATGCGTCGCCATCACCCGATCTAATCCACCGAACATCCGTCCTCCGATGAACACCGCCGGAAACTGTAAACTCCGGCTATCCTTACCTTCGTTTTCCGCATCGATCATCTCAAGTTCCTTCACGACATCATTCTCCTCCCCTTCATCAAACTCAAACACGCTCGGATTCACACCGTGACCGTTAAGCAACCGCTTCACCACATGACTCATACAGCATCCACGACGAGCCAATACGATGACGGCGTTTTCCGACACGGCGTCTCTGACAGCGCCTTTTGCAGATCCGTGAAATTGGGTGGTCTGGTGGTGGTTTAACGGCTGAGATAGGCCGGAGTGAATCGTCCATGGTTTGTAAGGGATTGCTTGTTGCATTTTGATTTTTGAAGCGGTGCGGTGCGGTGCGGTGTGGTGTGGTGTGGGGTTTGGATTTGGTGCGAGAGGGATTTATAGGAAAAATGGAGAGGGTTGCGTTTTGGGTGACTTGAAAGGGTCAGGCGTCAACGGCAGTTACGCGTTACAAAAGTTTAGAGTGACGAAAGGATAACGTCATATGAATTTGCATTTTTCTAATTGTAATTTGTAATTTTGTTGGGCATCCCACGTTTTACGTACCCCACTCTTGACATCATCACCGTCCTCTTCTTCAAACCCCCTTTTGGCTCTCTCCCATTCCCATATGATATATGCGGCCTCTTGTTTTCAAATAAATTTAAATGTTGTCCTATTGATTACATCATTTTTTTTTATTTTAGGTATGAACAATTACAATATTTTCCTTATCGTTTAAACGACAAATGACAATATTTTATTATAATTATTATCTATTACTATAATTATAATATAAATTAAAAGAAAATTAAATCAAAATCAAATAAATACTTATATCCTAAGATCTAGAAGCACATTACTCGAAATGCTTCGTCCCTCCCTTCATGGTCTTGTCGTCGTGCCACAAAGTATCATAATCGGGAACCCCTTTTAGTGAAGCACACTATTGAAAATGGTGGTACATAATTTCGATCATGAAGCCATCATGTTCGAAATCATGTGAATCAGAGCCATCATGTTCCAAATCTCATGTTATCACCTCCGACATCGTTTCATAACCACCACTACTATCGATAGGTTAATTTGAGGTTTGATTTCTTTTTACAAATGATTGAATTTGGATTTCTTCATGTGTGAGGATGATTTATCTATGATGATTGGATTTCGCTTCACTATAGGTCATGGAGGGCGTTGAGGGAGGTAAAGTGGGCAGCTGCACAAGGCCCAATTTTTGTTATTATATATTATATATACATTTATTTAAAAATAAAAAATTTATAATAGCGATAGAAACCCTTTTTCTCTGATTCGTCATGGGCATTTGAGAATATTTACATCTTCAGGACCGGCCATGTTATAGGTTTAATCAAGGTTCATTGCAGGTTGTACACCACAACTGTAAAACTCTCTCTGTCTCTAAACGCTTACCCCGACCATCAACCACCGTCCATAAGTTTGATCGGAAACAAATAGTAGTTTACACATGTTGGTCCCTAAATATTGAATAATTATATGTGTGTAATACGGGTAAATCGTAGAAGAGTAAGAACATACAATTCGACAAATAAAAGTTAATGGGTGTTTGAAATTGTTTTTCAAAATACTTATTAGCTTGTTAGCTTTTTGAAAACCTCGTAAACTAAAAAAGTGTTTGAGTATGTTAAATAGCTTTTGAAACAACTTTTTGAAGCTTTTTACATAGCTATAAAATCCTAGCTTTTCAGCTTTTCTTAAAAGCACCTTTTTTAACTTAGTTTTTTACCCCTTAAAAAATTAAGGCAAACATTTTTTAAAACCAACTTATTAACTTTTCAGTTTTTCCAACCACAAAATCTAATCCAAACACTTTTTAAAAACTGTTTTTCCAAAAAGCCATAAACACTTTCCTGAAAACACTTTTGTGATAAAAAAAAGTTAACCAAACACATCCTTATTTTATCTATCACGATTTAAAACACACATTGCGTAGGTGGGTGTGGGGGTGTGTGTGTGTGT